GTAGCCTTGGCGGTCCTGGACTCACTTTGTAGACCAGGCTGGCCTGGAACTCACAGTGATCCGCCTCCCTCTGCCTCCCTGAGGGCTGGGATTACAGGTGTGTGCCACCGTGCTCCAAGTTTTGCTTTTTGTTTTGTTTGTTTTTCCATAAGCGTAGAAACTGTAAATGCTCGCAGCTCCCTTGATTTGCCACTAGATGGTAGTCTTTGCAAATGTGGCTCAGCCAGTAGAGCTTAGGCAGAGGGGACACTGCAGTTTTTACAGGGTGCGGTAGTATCCCTGTATTCATACAGGTGCTTCAAAAACATACCACAAACCATATTTTTACTTTACTTTACTTCCTGTACTTTCATACCTATCTATATATAGGCCCTAAATTGTAACATACACAGTTGAGGAATCATTCTCCTGAGGCCTCTGAGGCGATCAGTTTAAAGGTTTGGGACAACCATGTATATACATACCAGTAACAGCCAAAACTTTTAAGTGTTACAACATGTTTCTGGAAACACATTTTACCCAAAATTCAGGTTAGCAAAATGAACTCCTTAGGAGGCTGTCTACACAGGGGTGCTGTTACACTGGCAATTCCAGCAACTAGGGAGGATAAGGCAGGACAATCACAATTTTAAAGCCAGCTTGTCCTGAAACACTGTTGTTTCAGACAGCAGCAACAGTGGATATCTGTTGCTGGTTTTGTGTTGATCGACCGATCTCTCCAACACAGCCCCTATACCTGGCTCCTTTGCTCTGCCTTTGTCTACCTTTGAGGATATAGTCTGAGCTGGCCCCTCCCCACCACCAAGCTGGCAGCTAATGCCGATGTGTGCTATCTCACTGATGCTGGCCAGAGATGCAGTATATCCTAGGGAACAAAGGCCAACCTTAGACAGTGAAGAACCTCTGCTCATCTCCAACACCCAGAGGGATGTTTCAGGTAAAGGAAAAAATTAGTCAGTGTCACCTGAGTCTAGAACTCTGTTCTTTAATATTTAGTTTTTGTTAGTTCAATATTACATTGATAAGTGTGTAAGTGTGTAGATTTTAAAACATGCTAAAAGATTTTAAACAGCATATATTAAAGATTTTAATATTAATATTAAAGATTGATTTTTATATTTATATTTCTAATTTATAATTATATTTCTTTTGTTCGGCACTCCACTAAGAGATGCATCTTAAAGTCATGATATAGGCTTCAGTCCCCCCTCTCCCGCCCCCAGGAGATTTGTGTACCCAGAATCAAGAATCAACTGCATTTTTGCTTTCACTATCATAGGGAACACATTTGGAAATGCTTCTGGTGATCAGAAGCAGATGTGGGGTTCCCCTTGTCAGTGGGGCTGAACTCCTGGAGGCTCTGAAGTGGGAATCTCTTTCTTTGCCTATTCCAATTTCTGCATGTCTCCTGGATTTCTTGTGACCCATCCCTCCATCTCTGAAACCAGCAAGAAAGCACGCTGCAGTGTCGCTTTGACTCTGACCCCCTCGCCTCCATGCTAATCCTTCCTGTCCCTGCTTTCCTCGTATGGGGATTGCTATGATTACGTTGGGCCCACCAGGATTAATCAGGATACTCTCCTCACTGAAAGGGCCTTAATTTAGTCACATTTGCAAAGCTCCCCCTGGCATGTGCCTCAGTCCATCTTCTGATGCCCCAACCGAATATCACAGATTAATTTATGAAGAATATGCTTTTTGACTCATGATTCTGTAGCTGGGAAGTCCATGATCAAGTGGATGTGAGTGGCAGAATCCTCTTGGTAGATTTCCTGCAGAGGTTCAGGGTGGAAAAGGATGTGGCACTGTGAGACGGAACACATCTTTCCTCTTACAAAGCCGCAGCACTGTCAAATTAAGGTCTCCATTATGGCCTCATGTAACTTGAATTACTTTCCACAGAACCTTCAAACATACAACTGGGTTATGCTTCTATACTTTAGGTACCTCATGATATGAAGTCTATTTTGACATGAATAGATAATGTTGTAAGGTGGCATTTATAGTTCTGGGTATTTGAACTGGGACATCTTCTAAGGAACATCTGTCTTCCTACTACATAGATGTACTGTGATAAGATGAATAGCCACAGACAAAGCAAAAGCTCAGAGCTTGGTGTCTTTGTCTTTCCTCTCAGTCAGGTAGATTTCTTCTTTGATGGTGGCTTAGGCTGAATATGTCCCAGTACAGTATCTAGAGTAGGCTTGAGCCCTTGCCAGACTGAGCACTGTCTGAGAGCAGTTGTTGCAAAGGCTGTGAGTTACAGAGCAATGCCGATGCAGGGCACTTCCTGGAGGTTGAAGAACTCGTACTGCTTTTCACTTTCTTAGTATCAGTAATATTTACTTTTGTTGTTGTTGTTTTTATTGCCTTTCTTATTCCTCCTCCTCCTGTTCTGCTTTGAGATAGGGTCATGCTACTTAGCTCAGGACCTCCAACTTACAATCTACCTGTTCTAGCACCTACAGTAGCTGGTATGGTGATTTGAATGAGAATGGCCTCATGTTTAAATGCTTGGTTCCCAGTTGGTGGACTGTTTGGGAAGGAGTAGGAGATTTGGTCTTGCTGGAGGAGGTATGTCACTGGGGGGTGGGCTTCTGAGTTTTCAAAAACTTACACCAGGCCCAGTCTCTGTCCTGCCTCCATTGTGTAGATAAGATGTGGACTCTCAGCTAGTGCTCCAGCACCCTGCCTGCCTGCCTGCTTGCCTGTTTTAATGCTTCTCACCATGACGATCATGGACTAACCCTCTGAAACTAGAGGCAAGCCCCCAAATTAATTTTTTTCATAAGTTGCCTTGGTCATGGTATCTCCTCACAGCAATGGTACGGAAACAAAGACACCTTACCTTACCTTGTAAGGTGGGCACTACCAAACCCAACCCTGAGGTTTACCTTTTCCATGTATTAATTTCAAATACTTTATGTTTTTGAAATACTAGATAGTCACTGAGCTTATCTAGCTGTGGTGTTCCAAGAATCAGGACACACTGTCTGATGAAGGGGTTGACTGGGATTCCAAGGCTTGAAAGAATTTTGAGACGTACCATTTGGCTGAAGATATATTAGAACTTCTGGTACATCCTGGTAACTTAGAGAGGATATGACAATAAATAAAGTGAGGCAAATCACTGAGTGAGTACTTTATGAGACGCCAAGAGCTGTGCTGCCCTTGCACAGATTACCTCATTTCAGCCTCACCACAAACCCAGGGAGGCAGACTACCACTCTTGCCTCACAGGCCCCATCTTCAGGTGGTAGTAGCAGACTCAGCGCTCATGAGCTACTGCATTTGTAAAGATCTAGGGCAGAGGGTCCCCCTTAAACAAGCCTGTCTTGGTTTGTATTGCTATAACAGAATGTCAGAGACTGGGTAATTTATAATGAACAAAAATTTATTGACTCATGATTCTGGAGCTGATGAAGACCTTCTTGCTGAATCACAGAATGGAAGAAGCCCCCCCCCCCTTAAAGCAGGAATCCATTCTCTTGATAATGGAAATAATTTATTCATGAGGTCAGAAAGCTAATGAACTACTCATTCTTAGAGGTGCTCACTCCTGAATGCAGGTCTCAGACCCAAACAGTTCTCACTTAGGACCTGTGGCTCCTCCCAGGACTTTCACTCTGGCCCCTGCCCTAGATCTCTCCCTCCCAGGGCTGGGCTTCCATGACCACAGCCTGATCCCTACATAGCCCAAACATTTTGGCTATACTGGTCTCTTCTTGGCCCAGGCTGCCTCCTAGGCAGGAGCTTCTCTCTTGCTCTCCCTCCTCTCTTTTTTTCATGGTCCAGTTTATTCTGCCAGCCACGTTCAGCCTGGATGCCTCTCTGCCTGCTTTCTCCCTTACAGCTACAATAAAAATCTCCATACTCTGAGAGTAGGCATGTCCTCCTCCTTTTCTTTTTTGTTTTTGTGTTTTCATTCAGTTATGTTTTCTGACACTTGAACTTTGATGGTCACACTCAAACCATAACAATCTAGAATCTACACATACCCAGACACTAAAAATACTATATAGCTGCTAAAACAGTGCAGAACCTGCAAGAGCCTTCCGTCGACCTCGGTGAGATCAGCCTACTGGCTGAGGAGCAGCCTTAAGCTCATGGGGATTTTAGATTGTGCCTCTACCATCCTCCCTCCTACATGAGAGGAAGGACAGAGCAAGTTGATATTTTCCTGGCAGTGGACACATGCTTGCAAGGAGTTTGGCAGAAAGGGCTCAGAGATGAGTGGGTTGTTTTCAAAGCCTGCCCTCTCTGTATCCAACTCTCTTGCACCATCAGGGATGCTCTGCCTTCCCTGCCATGGGGTGGACTGCTGTGAGAGACCCAGGTGCCACCCGAGAGAAAGGATGCCCCTTGAGTCTTAAGAGTGCTGGTATGTATATGACAAAAGGCCCATGTTAGTTTCTGCTGTTTCTTTCTTGCCATGGGTAGAAACTGGGGTGGGGTAGGTCAAGGGGCCCATCTCACTTGAGAAAGTCTGTGTCTGACAGCTGATGGGTCCCAGAGCAGCCATATTACTTTGCCTCTTCTCTTGGGTTCACTCCAGTTGTCTGATTTTGATTGACAGGGCATCTGGAGGCTAAAAATATCCTGCTAACCAAGTGCTCTTGATTTCAATTCAAGCTGAATATGATTGCAGTTTAGAATGCAGCACATGCAGGAAGTATGTTAAACAGGTTTTTATAACCTGGCAGGCTCCACACCAGGACCACAGTATCCTGTGGTTATTATCTGTCTTGGGGTCTTTTCTGGGTGATGAATGTGACCTTTGACAGGTCACTGTTTGTGTCTTCTCTCCAGAAACAGTGGTGGAGGGGGGAGGTGAGGGCCCAGGACTGGAGAGGAGTTGGGAAGGGGAGGTGGCCTGTCCATTTATAGTCCTGCTCTTTGGGACGATGAAGGTGCTTAAGAGCAGCAAGGACAAGAGGCTTGGCTCAGTGTGAGCTACCCACCTCGCGGGCTTGACTGACTCTGAGATGACAATAGGCAGCATGGAGAATGTGGAGGTCTTCACTTCCGAGGGCAAAGGCAGAGGTCTGAAGGCCACGAAGGAATTCTGGGCTGCGGATGTCATCTTTGCTGAGCGGGCTTATTCTGCAGTGGTTTTTGACAGGTACGGAAGCAGAGAGTGGCCTTCCCCCGCTGGTTTGACTGGTGCCAAGCTCTCAAGTTCTGGCTCCTGAAATCATCAGGGGAAGGAATAAAGTTCATGGGGTGCTTAATTTCAATTAAAAAATTATTACGTTTATTTATGGGTGCATGTGTGCAGAGCGCACACGTGCCACAGTGCATGAGCTGAGGCTGGAGGACAGCCTTCAGCTGTTGTCTCTCTTCCACCATGTAGGCTCCAGGGACTGAATTCAGTCAGGCTTGTCGGCAAGCGCCTATGCCAACAGAACCGTCTCTCTGGCCTTCAGACTGCACTTCTGATGGCTGTCTGTTGGCATTCCTTTTCTGCAAGGAGTCTTTGTCTCTACCTTTCTATGGCTGCATCAGAGTGACAAAGCTGAGCTGGGCCTTTACACACTTTGTCCCAATCACAGAGAACCTGCCTGAAAGGCTGTGCTGGTGGTGGGTGGGCAGATGTGAGCAGCGGGAAATGTTTTCTTACAAAACCTCTATTTCCTTTGGCTATACAAAAGAGGCTAAAGGTCTGTATAAACCTGTTAAAACACTTGTTGAAACCTTAAAAATTTAGTTTTAATTATACATTTACTTCCAAATGTTAAGAGTTTTGCCAAATGTCTACCTCAGGAGTAACTTGTGCTTTACTTTAAATCAACTTTTCTCAGAGTGCTCTTCTGTTATTTCATACACTGATTTGCAGTGAGTGTTCTGGAAGCCACAGTTTGTCTTTTTTGCTTTTATGGAAATGATATCATGCACCAGGGGTCAGATTAGAGCTTGCTTTTTTCCCTTAAACATTGTTTCCTATATTATACTCATGGGAACAGTAAGTGTTTAAATACTTCATTTGTTTTTGTGATAGTAAAAATTATGGGTGTGTAGGTGTGTTCATGCCATTGCTACATGGGAGATTAGAGAACAGCTTTCTAGAGTTTCTTCTCTCTCTCTGATATGGGTCCCAGGGATTGAACTCAGGTCCTCATCCTTTGGTATGGGCCTGCGGAGCCATCTTGCAGGCACTGATACGTCTTAAATATCCTCAAAGAGCTGTTTATTTTAGCTCCGTGTGGTGCGTTCCACATTGCTCTATAAATTACACGGGATAATCATTTTAACTGTTGTAAGTGTCCCACCCCATAAATATGTACAACATTTTACTTGTCTATTTTCCAATCAAGAGACATTTGATGGGTTCTTATTTCTCATAAAATCAAACATCCCTGCAGTTAAAATGCTCCTGTGTCCGCAGGGACACAGTGTGATTCTCTGTGGCACATGACTAGATGGCTTAGTCTTTCCAGCTTGAGAGGGGTCTGTTAAAATTATCTTCTCATGTCCCTACAACCTTGTCTATCACTTTTTTAGACCAGTATTCAGTCCTTATTTAAACACAACCCCCCTACACAGTGATTACATTGGAATGACAGCATTTTCTGAGCCACAGTTGGAATGACCTGTCTGGCATTTGTGTGGCTTGAATTAAGACAGCCTCTGATAAGCTCGGCGGGGTGAGTACTACAGAGTCAGCTGTTGTTGGAGGTGGGCACTGCTTTTCAGAGATAACTTGGTTAGCATTTAAACTCCACTTCCTCCTCATGTACTCCAGGGACCTCCAGGGAAAAAGGCAGTGAGCCAGGACATGTGGCTCACTACCATCCAAGGAGTAACCAGGAGCCCGAGTGACACTAATAGTGTTTCAGAGGAATCTGTGTGTGAGTGTGTGAGTGTCTCTGTGTGTGTGTGTTTCTGCCAACACTAAAAATATTCTCTTTTTTATAAGATGGCTCATACTATGTAGCCTTGCCTGGCCGGGAACTCACAGAGATCCAAATCTGCCTCTCTCTGCTTAACTCAGGATTAAAGATGTGCACCACCACATCTGGCTTTCCGTAGAGAACTTTCATTCTTAACATGTCAGGCACTTTCTTCTGGCTCATTTCCCGTTTAATAATCTGAACATCTTCTGTGTTTAGCTTTGAGTCTGTGTGCATGTCATGTGGTAGTGTGAGCATGCCATCACCGGTGTGTGTGGAGATCAACAGGCTACCTCAGAGCTTCTGTCTTTCTTCTTTCTTTCTTTCTTTCTTTCTTTCTTTCTTTCTTTCTTTCTTTCTTTCTTTCTTTCTTTCTTTCTTTCTTTCTTTCCTCCCTCCCTCCCTCCCTCCCTTCCTTCCTTCCTTCGTTCCTTCCTTTTCTTTCTTTCTTTTTTTTTTTTTTTTTGAGACAGGGTTTCTCTGTGTAGCTCTGGGTGTCCTGGACTCACTTTGTAGCTTAGGCTGGCCTGGAACTCACAGAGATCCACCTGCCTCTGCCTCCCTGACTGCTGGGATTAAAGGTGTACACGACTGCACCTGATTACAACCTCAGGTTTTGCTTTTTTTTTTTTTCTCTCCAAGACAGGGTTTCTCTGTGCAGCCTTGGCTGTTGTGGAACATCTCTTGTAAATTAGGCTGGCCTTAAACTCAGAGATCTGCCAGAGTTCCGCATGATGCTCAGCAAGGAGGGCAGGGTCTTTTGTTGGCAGGTTGAGTGGCCTGGCAGTTTCTGGGGATTCTCCTGTCTCCATCCCCTAAGAGAGCTGGGATTGCAGATGTATGCTCTGGCATACATCTAACTTCATATGGGACATGGGCTTTGAACTCAAGTCCTCACACTACTTGAGCAACACTTTGCTTGCAGTATCCCAGCCCTTATGATGTTCCTTTTTGCAGGGATACCTAAGAGAAAGAAGTTTTAAGCCTCTTTCTTGATGGTTTAGTTTGCATATATGTGTGTGAAAGTGTGATGAGCAAATGAGTGCAGTTGCTCATTAGGCCAGATGAGGGCTTCAGGTTTCCCAGAAGTGGAGTTCCAGGTGATGGTAAGCTGTCTGACATGGATGCTGAGAACCAAACTCTGGTCTTCTGCAAGAACAATGAGTGCCCTTAACTGCTTAGCCATCCCCTCAGTCCTCTCAACCTGTCAATTATTCCCCACTAATAATAAATAATAACAACAAGACTAATAATTTTATTATTTATCATCATCAGTTCCAGATGCCTTGATTTTAGAGTTAGTTTAGCATCTGGACTCCATGGAGCCTGAGCTAGGGAAATGTTTGTAAGTGGAAGAACAAAGTCTGTGTGGATGTGCATATGTGATTTTTATTTTTAAGGAGAAAGTCAGTAGATTTCATTGCTTTCCAATGGTTCTCAGCACAGAAGTAGAGACCCATTGAGTTATCTGTTTATTTCTGACAGGGAAACTGAGACCTAAAGGGATATTCACCCTTCCCAAGTCAGGGTCACAGGGCAAGCTTGAGGCTCTCCGCTGTCTTTTCAAGTGATCACTTCTCAATGCTCTCCCAACAAGCGGCCTCCAAGCCTTGCCACTTTCGTCCTTTTGCTCATGTCGGTGTATTAATATTATTTAGTATTAGAAGATTGCTGTTAGTCAGGCTGTTTGGGACAATGAAATCAGTTATGAGCTTTCTTAGGCCCACTGGGGCATCTGAGCTTTTAGTCGATGTATTCTCTGTAGGAGAGACAGAGTTAGTCCTGCATAGCACAAGTGACTTTTAATCTGATAACAGCTGGTGAGTGGGTGGTGGAGGACAAGTAATGTTATAAATGGAAATAATTTAATAACAGGATTAGAGAAATTCTTGAGCAGTTAATTCAGAAAATGAAATAAGTGTTTGCTGAATTATTTAGGCTTCTCTCCTCAATGTTTAAAATAGTTGAAACTAGCTATAATAGATTTAGAATTATGCCTTTTATTTGGTTGTCCTTGGGTATAGAGAAACGATATGTTAACATGCCACACAAACTGTGTGAGCTGTACATCTAAACTTGACTAAATAATAATCAAACTCAGATGTTTAAAAATAATTGACATTTTATCATTGGCTTTTGGAAACAAGTCTTACTGAGCTCTGGATGGCCTTGAAATCTCTGTGTTGTGGAAAGCAATCCTGAGCCGTTGTTCTGCCTGCCTCTTGTTAGGACCAATGAAACAAAGATGCACACAGATTTTATATGAAAGAGGTTTATTGGATGGAGATGAAGAGAGAGAGAAGGAAAGGGTGAGACATGATAGTGGGAAAAGAGGGGGGTGCCCTAACAGAGAGAGGGGAGAGAGCCAGAGAGCGAGGAAGTAAGAGGGCAACAGAGACAAAGTGGCGGGTTGATCCCTTTATGGAGCAACTGAATCACGAGTGCCAGGTGTGGCTACCTGTCTGGTGACACATGATGACATCATAGGTTGCTAGGCAACCCAGAAGCAGGCTGCCTAAATACTAACATTCCTCCCTTTTTCTATATTAAAAAATGAGGCGCTTGGGCCGCTGCTCATGTACGACAAGTGAAAGTACATAAATGTAGGTGCATTGGAAGCAGCTCTTGGTTGCCATGCAAGGGGGGGAGAAAGAGAGAGATAATAGCAACAAAATGGCCAGATTACATGGTCAAGAGGAGGAGGGGAAGCCCCTGCCCTGGGAAGTTCAGGGTAGAGGGTTGCCAGTAGAGAGTTGCAAGCCATACAAGGCAGCAGGTAGGGACTGAGGAATGCTGGGAGAACCTGGAGCTACTTGTCCTGGGCCTGAAGCACACCATCCCAGCCTTTTGTTAATAGTAAGTGAATAGTGGGTGTAGATTCTCTTCTGGCTACTTCCTGCTCACACTGCAGCCACTGTAGGGAGGTCAAAAGGCTGAAATGCTGGCCAAGTCCAGGAAGAACAGGCTGTTTTGATGCTGTCCAGGGTCTGTAAGAACATCCACGGCTGGGAGGGAAAGTTCAGGTCCAGCTTGATGGAAGTCTGTGAGGTCAGACTGAACCTTGTGGTAGCTGCTTTGGTGTTGTTGTGGATATAGGAAACACCTGGGTCTGGCAGGACACTGGAACATGTATATAGGCAGAAGACAAAGTTAAGTAGGTTATGGAGAAAATTCCTTTAGGTGTACGTTTAAAACTTTTGAGAGAACAAACAGAGATAGAAGAAGAGACTTG